AAGTGTGGTACCTGCGCGCCAACTCATACCTCGGCAGCGCTTGCAAGAAAGGCAAAAAACACGTTGCAGATTCAGATTGCTCCAGTCCGCGATTCGTGAGTGAGATGTGTCGATCGGCGAGCGTGCATCTGATTAAGGTGAGTGAGGGGGGGAGAGGGGGTGATGTGATGGTTTAATGTGATGGAAGTTGATTTAGGTGAGTATGTGTGGAGGGTGATGGCGGTTTAATGTGATAGAATGTGATGGAGATGACGTTTTTTGATGATTATAGCGGTGGCCATTCATAATGATAATAGTAATAAACTTTTTTACTAGTTTTGATGGTAGTATTTCGTATAGAATGATGCTATTCATCTACTGATTTACAATGATAATCCTTTGCATAAATAATAACGACAGTTACATCAAACATCCATCATAACCTGATTCAATAAATTAACAGAAAAGCCAAGCGCGAAGACGTAAAAATGTATAGTATTAACAACAGCAAGTGTGAGTACACGCAGGTGCACTGAAGGGTGCTAAGGCATGTTGGCTGAAAGGAGGCTCGTGTTTAAGGCTTTATTTTATTCATATGCAGTGACATGTTGAATTAGTAGAGGAGGAGCTGGTTCGTCCTTGAATTGTCTTTCAATCTTTCAGGACTCAAGAGATTTGTAAGCAATGCCACTTTATTCAGCATATACATGTATGTATGTATATATACACACACTCACACACTCACACTCACACTCACACACACACACACACACACACACACACACACACACACACACACACACACACACACACACACACACACACACGCACGCACACGCACACACATATGTAAGAGTCAGTGAAGGACCTCTAAACATTGGTGACAGGATAGTAAAAGCTTGAGTGGCTTAAACCCTTTATTCTATAAGAGTTCAGTACACGGTTATGATAACACGACGATGACAAGACTTAGGCTAAGGCGGGTCACCTGGGGTCACAGGTGACCACCACCTCAGCGGGCAGACCGGCCCAGCGGGCAGTTGTGACCTTGACCGCGCCGGAGCACACTCTGACTGACAGGGGTCAACCTTGGAGAATAAGTAGCGGCGACCCCCGGAAGCAGGGGCGGAGCCACCAGCTGGAGTATGGCGTCGTGGCTATGCAGGCGCGGCCAACGAAACTGCCACGCAGCATGTATACAGTATATTGTATAATATGTATGTATGTATATATATATATATATATATATATATATATGCATATATACACACACACACACACACATATATATATATATATATATATCATCATCATCAAGTATGGTTGGGTCGAAATCGATCCGCCGTGGCCCCCTTCCCTTGCCTCCTCTAACCACTCCGATCTTTTGTCAGCTGACTCGCCTCTTGCATACTGCCACACACCTTCACAATTTCATCACTGTACCGGGTTTTCGGCCGGCCTCATCCTCGCGGTCCGTAGACCGTGCTCAGCAGTAGGGTTCTGTCCAGATTTTCTTCATCTCTTATGATGTGTCCTACTAAGCTTAGTTTCCTCTGAAGGATGCTGTTGAGCAACCGTGTTTCAGGTTGGAATTTGGTGAGCACGTCCTCGTTGGTGGTCTTAGAAGTCCAAGATATTCTAAGTACTCTTCTGAAGCACCACAGCTCGAAAGATTCAATGAGCCTTCTGTCTGTCTCCTTCAGTGTCCAGCATTCCGCTCCGTATGTTGCGATAGAGAAAACTAGCGTGGAGAGCAATCTCTTCTTTGTGAATAGAGATATTCCTTTGTCCTTCCACATTTTTGTTAGCGACACTGTTGCAGATTTTGCAATTGCGATTCTTTTAATTTCCGGGGTATCATTGCAATTGTTGGTGAAAACAGCTCCCAGATAGGTGAAATGATTGACGTTCTCAATTTTCTTGTTGTTTACCCAGATATGTTGGTCATCTTCGTCTTCAGCGGAATGTCTCAGAATTTTCATAACTTTCGTCTTCTTGGCGTTCAAATAGAGACCAACCTTTTCACTTTCAGTTCAGACCTTGTCTACAAGTTCTTGAAGTTTTGACAGGGAATTGGTTATCAAAACCACGTCATCAGCGTATCGGAGATTAGTCATCGTTCTGCCTCCAATGGTAACCTTCCACTGCATTTCTCATGACATTTTCAGAGTACAGATTGAAGAGGTGCGGGGTAAGGATGCATCCTTGACGGACTCCTTGGTCAATTTCAAACCAGTCCGTTAGGCCATAGGTTGTACGTACTGCGGCTTTTTGCTCATCATACATTGCTTTGAGTAGCAGGATAATGTGTTCAGGAAAACCCATGTTTCTCATGATGTGCCACAGTTCTTCATGTATGACCATGTCAAAAGCTTTGGTGTAGTCAATGAAACATAGGTACAAGTCTTTGGAGTGCTCTCTGTTTTTTTCAATGATCATTTTAAGATTTAGGATTTGATTTCTTGTACCAGTGCCCCTCTTGAAACCGGCTTGTTCTTCTGCGATTTCAGCTTTCAGTTTC